GTTACTGTGTTGACTGTTTCTCTCCTCAAGTCAAGACAAACATATTTCAGTGTACTGTCTAGCCATGAAAGCAGCTGTTCAGAAACCAAGCATCAGTCAAATCTAATTTTCGTCACACACCAGCTGGAGCGCTGTCCCAGTACAACCAGATCCATCGTCGCCAGATTCTGTCTTTTCTGATTCTGTGCGCCATTAGTGTCGTCCTTGAGTGCTACAGGGTTTCCTTCTTGACTCAGAGGTCTTGGAAAACATAAAAAGTAAAAGTTCTGTTCTCTGTGGTCCCTTTTCCACCAAATTTGTTCCCCATCTTGGACCATTTTCATTCGATATTATTTGAGCCTTGTTGCTGTCCAGCGAACCAGCATGCATTTCAACCAGCTTTGAGTGGAACCATTGTAATTAAGGATGCATCAGCAACAGAGAGCGCTGCACAACCACCTGTAGAATATTCAACACCCACTTTGGTTCTCAAGAAAAAACAGCTGGAAACCAATTTTTCAGTTTCTAAATCAATTTATATTTGGTCAGAAAGCTCAGTTCAAATGGTTCCAAACTAGGTGCTGGTCTTAACTTAACAGATCATGTGACCCACAGGCTGAAAGCTTAAAGTATTCAACCCTTCTCTGTCCTACAGGTTTGGGTGTCCTGGTCCAGGTTTGTTCCAGTGTACTTTTACTGGAATGGTGTTTGTTTTGACTCAAGAGGCAGAGCTGCTGTACAGGACCGTCCAATGGGACGAGAGCCTCCTCCAATCAGCTGGAAAGACGCCTGCAGGGCTGCTTTTCGATATCAAGTGTTCAGAGGATGCTGCTCTCTGTCATCTCCACCTCCCACACTGTGAAATGGATGTGGATGGTAAGGATGTTATTGTGCTTTCTGAGTATTACATGTCTTGCTCTTGGAATGATTTTTGTCAGACAACCACTCCTTGGGATAGTAGAAATGGTGTTGAATTTCCTCCATTTGTACACATCTGCCTGACAGTGAATTAATAAAGAGCAGACTTTGATAGTGACGACCCAGGTTTATATTCTTTCAGTGGGGCGGGTAGTGCACAAGAGCCACCAAAAACATTCTGGAGGCTGCGTAGAAGGTGATCCATGGAGCAGGAGTCAACACCCCTGGCTAGGTTGCCCAAGGGAGGGTGTCTGATGATTAAAGTCCTAAAACAACTTGTGACACCGGGATCGTCACTGAAGATGTGTCCAAGTAGCACCAGTCAAGTCAAGTCAGTTTTTATTGCTACAGCCCAAAATCGCTAAACAAAATTTTCAGAGAAGGGATTTCTCCCCCAGGGTGGACAGACATGCAATGGATGTCGACCCAGACCCACAAAATCACATCATATAAAAAATGTTAAACTCGTGTCTTATAATAAATTAGGACTAACATTGCACTGAGGTTTTTACCAGTAAAACAAGAGTCTAACTGCTTTGTGTTTTCACAGGTCTTCTGCCTCATGGTCTGTTGTCTGTCGTCCACATCACTGATGATGGAATGAGCATCCTGGAGCCGCTGCAGATTACAGACACTCATGTCATTGTGGAAGTGCCTCACCTCTCCATCTTTGGCCTGATCTGGAACATTATGAGGTTGTGGACGAAACCAGTTAGTGGCCAAGTTCTGCTGTTCCTCGGACCACCAAACCCAGAGACAGAAATACAAAAACTGAATGTGATTCTCCTGCCATGCAACATCAGTCTGGATGAGGTAAAGCTTCTCGCTGCAGATCTATAATGAGATATAATTGGCCTGCTGATTGATCAGTTGGGCTCTACTGATTTGAATGTTCTGATGCCTCTTAAGGTCAGGAAACAACAGCGGAATTATCAATACATCATGGCCACTTCCACATGTGAACTTTTCAAAGGCGAAAGTTACACTGTTCACTGTCCTGAGGCCATCAAAATACAGCCAAAGGTGGGTGTTTTAGATAAAAGTCTGTGTCATGATTCCTAAAACTGCTGTGTCTCTACCTTTAATTTACTTTCAATATTATGGAGAAACTGACACTTTGGTTTCAGAAAGCACATTTTGTCCTGGAGTTTGGACCAAATTACCACCCTACGTTTGAGATCCGCCTGCCTACAAACACAAAAGAAGTGACATTAACGGTCCGAGACCAGAGACAGAGGGAGGTCTGGGAGCATGACGTTGATCTGATTGGTAAAGTCTTCATCCACCTGCAGCATCACTCCACCTGATAGTACAGCAGATAAAAATAGAGCAGCAGTTATTGATTGATCTGTTGCATTTCCTCTTACTCTGCCTTAGATAATATAACCAATATTACACCATTCATAGAAATTATGAAACATTTCAGACCCAAATTTCAATTTGATGTCTGAGGGGAATTTGACACAATGTGAAAGAAAGCAACATTAAGCTCATTGACGCTGATGAATACATAAACTTCTCATGTATTAATGCATCTTCAGTTCGTTCCTGCAGACAATCATTAGTAATACATAAACAGGGAAATGTTGTGCCTGAGCTTTTTGCATGTGACGTTTGAACGCTCTGAACTTGACAAAATAAAATCTCAACCATTGAATCAGGTAGTGGCAGACATTTTACCAGTGGACAGGGAGCACCAGCAGCTGTGGGATCATTTAATTCAGTCCTACTTAAATCCATCACATCTTAAAGTATGTATAGTGTTTTCACTGGACAGTTTTTTTTTCACTTGAGCTGAAACCTTTTATCTGCATCAGTTCGCACAAGGAGAATTTGTGTCTGATTGCAGCTTTACATAAACTTTCACGCTGTCTGTCTGAACTCACAGTCAGAGGCCTGTGTTACTGAAGGCAATGCTGATTTATTTATATAGCACATTTCATACCCAAAGTAACCCAAAGTGCTTTACAGAGTTTACGAGCAAACAAATGAAAACAAATGATAAAACCAACCCAAGCAAGCCAACGAATAACAATCTTTGTTCTGCTCGTCCCTTAGATCCGGCCCTACGTGTAGAAAATCCTCAGAGTGGTTCATCAGAGAGCAGCTTGTTATCAGTTCGGTCAGAGTTTGTCAGATCAGTGACTGAACCTGTTCTGAACCAGCTGCTGGATAAACTTCTAGAACGGGAAATTATAAATCAAGAAGAAATGGATTCAGCCAGAACCAGCAGCAGGGCTGACAATGCTCGAACTGTGATTGACATGGTACGAAACAAAGGAACACAAGCCAGTTCCTCCCTGATTGAGGACTTGAGGACATTGGATCCAACCCTTTCCAACAAGCTAAAGTTGAGCTAAAGTAGAAATGAGACTCCTGGACTGGATCAGTTTGACCTAACTGATAACAATTATGACGTTATGAATACATTAAAATCAAAGAACAGCTTGAAGGTTCAGACTTGAGAATTAGGGTTAGGTTCGTAGCTAGGGAATGCATATTGTCAATGACGGTGTGTGTATGTTTTTTTAAATGTATTTTATAAACTGAATTAATATAAAATAATAGTTATAATGCTTCATATTTATACCCACCCTATATATATATGCATTACATTAA